CGTGTGCACATAGATTTAGTCCTGGAAATTCTGTATAGGGTCACTATGTGTCAGAATTGACTCTACAGCAGTGGGTTTGGTTTGGCTTTGGTTTGGTTTGTGTTTTAAGTATTTTTAAGGGCTTTTTGGCCTTTTTAAGGGTAGTGGGCAAGTCAGAAAAAAAAAACCAGATTAAAAAAACACAGTGCTGTTAGTAAATCTTTAAATAGAAATTAAGCCCAGACACTGAGGTCAGTGGTGAGGCAAACTTTGAAATGATCATAAATGAACAAACACAATTATCCATCCAAATTCTTACTTTTGTGTCTGGAACCTCTTTTTATTCCAGGAGCAAGAGTGGAAAGAAATGGACCTGAATTTTAAAAAAGAACTTATTTTTTTTTAAGTGACCATGTAATGTGCCATATTCCTTCCAGTTTGTTAAAAATAGAATCCCTCTCAAGAGTTGGATCGCCTTATGGTTAAACGGGGGCAAATTCTGCCACTGGAATAGATGGTCTTAGTAACTCACATGTCTTCAATTTGTACTCTAGTCACAGCATATTCTTTAAACATGTAGTAAAAGTACCACATTTTCCTCTTTTCTTTGGCTGATTTCTATAGCATACACACTCACATTGAGCTGCTAATGGAGGGAAAGGTTGATGAAGTACGGAGAAGGCTCAGAATATCTTCTTTATAATTTCTGCCATCGAGGTGGTCCAGAAAATCTTATTGAGGGAGGCTTACATCTGATACAAGTAGAGATTGCATACAGGTGCTTCAGAGCAAAATTTCTAAGGGATGGCTTTCCCCATAGAATGATGCCCATACTGGGGAAAGGAGAGCTGGGTGAATGTACTTGTATTACCTTTACTGAAAAGATGTTTGCTTAGAAAATATGCTGCCCAAATATTTGAGACTTCAGGTCACCTTTCTTTCCAACTGTTGACAACTGTTGTGTTAAATGAACACAAATAATTTTTGATGTACTAGAAGGAAGAGAAAGCCCTCATTTTGAAGAAGCTTAAGTTTCTTTGGAATGAAAGTAAAATTGCTTAGTAAATGGAACTTGTACTTTCTACAAAGGCCTTATAGCAAAAAATGGATCCTCCCCATCCCCTTATGTTCCAGTTATGTGTATTTTAGCTTAGTTCAAATAGAAGGGTCAGCAAGCTCTGACCTAAAGGATAACTCTGGCCTGACATCTGTTTCTGTAAATAAACTTTTATTGGAACACAGCAATGTTGACTTGTTTACATATTATCTACAGCTGCTTTTGCTCTGCAGTGGCAATTGAATAGTGGTGACAGAGACCATCTGAACCTTAAAGGCTAAAATATTTGTTATCTGACCCTACAGAAGAATTTTGTGGACAAGGGCACCCCGATAGTGCAGTGGGCAGCTAGCTGGGCTGCTGATGACAAGGTCAGCATTTCCAAATCCACTAGTTGTTCTGAGGGAGGAAGACTTAGAGCTTTGGGAACCCGAAGGGACATTTCTACTCGGCCCTATAGAGCCACTACGAGTAAGAATGGACTCGGTTGTAGTGGATTTTTATATTTACAAATGGAAGTTCTTCATATCAGTGTTTTTGTACTCATGTGGCATTAAGTAGGACCAGTTCTCTGAATTATTATGGAATTGAGATATCTTCTCTTATTCTTGATTACACATTTTATGAAATGTTTCACAAATACAGCTAAACTCTGTAAAGATGGTTATGGGCAGATTGCTTAATGGGTAATATGTTGAAATTGCAGCAGTCATTTCTACTTTTCAAAGTCCTGGGACAGTAAAATAATTTATTTCTCAATTTGCATCTCACTACTTATAAACACCCTGGGAAGACATTGTGTAGTACAAAACACATTGTCATCATTCAGTTACAAAAGGCTTTCTTGGAGCAACTTAAAATGACAGTGAAAGGAAGCACTTTTGTTCCTTATTTTCTCTAGTTTCCTGTGCTGGCTGCCTTCTCCCATTCCTTGGCATTCACATGCCCTCCAAATAAAGGGCAGAGAGTTCAGGTTACTCTGTGGGTCAATTGACAGATGGCTGTGCCTCTTCAGGTTGTAGGAGCCTCTGGAGGAGAAGATTAATGTCAGCACGAGATCACTGAGGCTAATCTGACTGGCACTATAACAGCCAGCCTGGAGACACGCACCCATTCATTCATTTATACATACATTCATTCAAGGAACATTGGGGGCCCGGAGAACCAGCCTTGTGACACCAAGGATTTCGTAGTCTCTTACAGGAGATTAGACACAAAGCAGAGAATTATATATGTTAAGGTGAAGGATTGAGTTATATACAGGGTATCACGGGTGAGGGGAGCATCCCAACTTGGGGACAGGTACTTGGAGGGGTTAAGGCCCCCAGGATGTAGCTGGGAGGGGAAGGATACCGTGTGTAAGAGATGATACTGGTTTGAACAGAGGCAGAGAGGTGAGCAATTGCATCATGTAATAGGTAACTATAATGAATTCAATGTTGTTGGAACATTAAGTCCAAGTGTGAAACCAAGCAGGAGCCCAGTGTGCGGCACCTTGAGTGTCACTTTTCAGAAATTCAGATTTTTATCCTCGATATAAGGGCTTTATAGGTAAAGTTTCTTGTAGACAACATATAGTTGGGCCTTGGTTTTTTATCCAATCTGACAGTAATTTTTTTTTT